CCGTGGACGGGCCCGGAAACACAAACAGAGTTCCCGGCATCACGCACAGTTGTGGTTATCTGGTCCAATTCATAGTCGCCGTCCGCTCATTACACGGTGATCTCTGCCGTTTCCCGAACTTGTGGTCCATCAAACTTTTCTATTTGTTAATGGGTTTACCGGAAAAAATCTGTACTGCGTGATGGCGTGATTTGAATCAACTAATGTATCCCAAAACGATCGGTGCTCAAGAACGTCATCTGCAGCTGACGTCGATGTGGTCAATTTGACGTCAAGACCGCTGCCGGAGAGTAAAACGCTTCCCAAATTCAGTGCTGCTGAGAAAAATCTGGTATTCAGCATAAAGCGAAGAAAGATGGGGACTTCATCAGTAGCATGTTTCCGATTATCTGCCCCACAGTATGCAGTAAATAATGCGACCCGGCTGATGTGACCAGTGGACGGTCAACGAGACATGAAAGCATTGCTGTTGACAAAGGTCATAGTCAGCTGTTCTGCTGTCATGATGGGCAAACCTAGACAAGAGTACGATTAGAATTATCACGCGAAGCCTTTGGCTACAAAACCGTGTGAAACTACTCGGGTGATCGAAATTTTTCGGAACACATGGACAGACATGTTCCAACCCGAGACAACAAGACCGCTTGTCAGAAATCCATTTATTGGCCAACCTCCTGGAAGAGATTTTCTGGGTCCTGAATGGTTGCCTTCCGGTAGAGCCCAAAGGATCACTGGAGTACGCAAAGCAGTATGTTACGATAAAGTTCAGTTTTTAGCGATGGAAGCCCATATGGACGGGCTAACACCTCCGGTTTACAAGCTTGTATCCACCGAGCACAAACGATCTTTGATCTGTACTTCGTACCACAAGGTCAGGAAAATCTGTATCACGATAAACTGGTCCAGTTATTCTAGAACATGAAGGCTACCCGGGTTGATACATTGAGCGCAGACGAAAGTTATACGGCACAAAAGAATCGATAATAATGGATTCAAGGAGACCCCTCTATATTGAAATACCTGGTACCGATGACAGCACATCCAGATTTTTGCGAGACAACAAATTTTGCTTTAAAAGACCCCCTTATTGCTGCCCGAATAGGGAAGGTAACTCGCCCCAGGGCATTGCTTCTGCCGTCTATCAGAATACCACATTCAATCCTGTCAACAAGTCGTTGCGTATATCAGTTCGCCTGCAATCGCGGTGAGAAGCGAAGAACTGGTAGAGCTGAGATGGGACAAAAAATATCCGCCTTATCTAATTCTGCGGCTGTTAGGGGATTTCAATCTGTCGCGCACGCAAATGATGCAAAGGTTAAATCTTCAAACCCGAGGCACACAATCGAGACAGCGAATAAGGTTGAGCTGCAACCAACTTTCGAAATCGCCAAGAGATGTGGCCAATCAGATCGAGTCAAATTTATTGAGACGATATTGATAAGTCCGCGCAAGACCCCATGTGTTCAAAATAGCATTAAGTTAGCCTTCAGATTGTGCTGGTTTTGCTGACTGAACTCCTGGGAAAAGACGCTGTCGATGTTTCACATAAGCTGCGTCGTTTGCTATAGTTTCCTAAGATGTGGGTTCAGTTGTAGCATCCTTTTAGTGCCATGTCACCAGATGGAAGCACGAGGGCTGGGATAGTTCCAGGTTACCCGAGCCTAGACAGCGGAAGTCGAGAAGTAGAGGTCGGGTTCGAATCACGAGCCTTCCGGTCAGTAAATTCGCGCCCTAACCACTGAGCTAGCGCACTAGCTTTCCCAATATATCTAGAGATGATGTTGAATCATTGCTCCTTGAAAACTCCAGGTAAGTGACACCAGCAAACCGTTTCCAGCATAAAACAGTTTTTTTCAACTGACTGAGAGCTGTTGGGACTCCATCCTCACCAGTTAAAGTGAATTACAGCGTGATCCTCGGTCCCAAACTATTTTCAGCTGCCAATGATTACCTGTCATGTCATGTCGAAATTGCTGACGGTGTGAAGAATTGCCTCCCCGGAAGAAAGCTTTCCAGACAAGTACTGCGAGTAATTGCTTAGTAAAAGAAGAATAATTTTATCCTTATTTTAATCAAATGCACACCGCTCTTGTAACACACTATGTAATCATGTGTTTTGGCGTTTCTCAAGATGAACCGAAGGGAAGTGAAGTTATCCAGACAGAAACCAACTTTTTCTGTCACTACATACACATCCTATCTTGCCTGTAAATTGAGTTCCGATTTGTTCAAAAAGAGCGAATGAACACGATTTTTCTACACAAAGTGTCCAAACCAGTAGTGTGCAAACTGAGATAAGCGACTGTGGTCATCACGGCGTCATAGTGGAAAACACAGGTATTGGTTGTAGAACAGTTGGCCGCTGATCTGTTTGCCAGGTTGGGCAATTTTTTAGTGAGCACTTCGCCAACTATCACACCGGCCCCAAAAGTGTGCATAATCAATATCATCAACAAAAAACCGGTGATGTTCCCACGACTTGTGACGGAGAAGCAATTTACCAATCTGGAAGAACATATCAACAGCCACCGGATCTACAACCAGTTAACACACCCGAGCTATGAATACTTCGATCTATTGCCAACATGCAGGTAGGAGTGAGTGATCCTCGTAAATCATATGATCTGTGAAATGCATTGAAATTCTTTAACTCAGTCAATAATGATAGTCACGAGATACCGAAAAAATCGGAGTGCTATCGAAATGGACTTGCTTGTATTACACCCCCATATCTCTCAGGTGAGTGCAAACGGACAAACTAATTCACGACGTCACAAAGTGTTCAGCCTTGCGTCAACCGAAAATGGCTATTTAAGTTGGGATAGGCTTATTTCAGTAAAACAGAGAAGTGCTGCAATAATAGCAGCGGATACGCGACCGTTTCTTGTTTTGACAGAAATCCCAACCAAACTGTATCAAGTCCTCGATGGTAAGAACTGATGCTGAATCTAGATGTTTTACAGAAGCCAAGGGAATGTTCCCTTCAAAGAGCCAACTGTACTGGAGAGCACTAAAGTTTTATCAAAACCAGTGAGATTCTCAAAGCTTGGTAACAAGTCACACGTGACATTCTCCAGCCATTCTCGTCACAGGACATCTTTCAGTTTTCAACAACTCCGGTGCATCTGCGCACCGTGGTTACAACTAACACAAACATAAGAAATAGGCATTATGTCCGGCTGAAACAGCTGTGGTCATTCTTAGAGAGTGGCCACTCGTCATTTAATGGAATGATAATCCAGCCGTTTCTGATGCTCCAGCCCCATGAAGACTCAAGCCTCGTGAGATGCAAGGGTCTACGTGTGAGCCTTCGAAACCCAATTAACCAAATTGGATGATGTTCTTACAGAATCCAGTTCCTCTTACCTGGTTGGTCGGCGGCCGGGGGTCTGACAAAGTCTCCTAGATCTGCAACATGAGGTGTGAAAGAGAGGCTACCCGTTCCTCAAAAATTAGGCTAACCTGAATAAACTTTTGGGTCAGAGGATCTCACTACCCTGGCAGTATATCGGTTCACATAGACTCCGGAAGTACACGAATAAACTTACCTACACATTGCCGTCACGGGGTTGTGGCAGTCAAAGAACCGTATTCGTCGCATATAGCCGGGTGAATGAATTATCTTTTGCCTTGTGTCCCACTTAATAATCACTATTCCATAAATCAATCAGACGACCGAAAAACTGACCGATTGGATCACACATTGTTTGTACCTACCACTACGAACCAGATATTCAAACCCACTTCTCCTGTATTAAGGGCAATCCTTGACGTGCTGACCAGTTACCTGCTCCTGGGCGCACCTCACACACTCCACCGATGGACGTTTGCGGCATTTATGAAAGTCCAATAAAAAATACAAGTATAGTAACTAAGCTTAGACACCTTAATTATCTGATCGCCGTCGACTGCGGACTGCAGCGGCGTGGGTAACCAGGACACACACAGATACCTCTCTTATCCATCAAACACCTGTAAACGATCAACTCAGAACCTTCCAAATGTACAAAATGCTTTGAATATTAACCGCCCCTTATTCGTATTGTCCACTTATGTACAAACTAGATAGCAGCAAAGAAGCTTTGTTAAATTTAACGAAACACATTAAAACCTACTGCATAATGTCCCAGGAGTAGAACACCCTGAGGATATCGATCATAATTGAGGATATATGGCAAAGCCGGAGGCGGTATCCGAAACTCGGCTTGTGACGTTCTAAACGAAGTGCGCGGAAAAACAACCGGAGATGAGAACCGTCCCTGTCACTTCTAAACACGAGAGGCTATACTTAACTGGGCCCAGGGTACTAGTCTATGAGACGGTTCGTTAGACGTTAGCTCAGACGAAGATCGTGTATGGATGGTTTGGGGGAGCTGGTACTGGAAAGCTAACGATATGGGACAGGTAAGTACGGCATGAAGCGTGCGAAACCCATTGTAGCTAATATAAAAACTGCAATTTTGGTGATCGTTTATCACAAAACGTGATACCAAATCACTTGCTGAAGACGCACCGCCTCTGTATTCCTGCGCTACGTCTGTACAATTTTGAGCCCTCGGTCTAGCATCCTACCACCTTAACCAATTCTAAAAGGATCTTGTCTCCCTACCACGGTGCTTCCTGCCGATATGCTGAACACGGTCCAAACCCAAGGAAAGTCACCTATCCGGTGATACTTGTGCAATAATTGGCAATGTAATCGAGTTGTGGCGATCGCTGCAAACTAGGATTGTCCAGCCACAACTTTCACTGTTGAGTGCACCGGAACAAGCGCGCGAACATATACGACCAAGTTTAATTGCATCGACAGCCTCCTGTCCTATTTTAGTGAATACATTACCGTATGTTGTACCGTATCATTTATCAATTTCATACATCCATTAGCAGCTGGACCAACCGCAAACGACCCGACAAACGGTCTTGTGGCCGAGTAAGCCTGCAACGCCCGAGAACATAGGTGGCCCACACGACTCATTTAAAGTGGAACACAAACGTTGACGTGTGTGTTCGAACCCGTGTGTATTTATCACTTAGGCGACACAATGCAAATGTAAAAAACAATGAGGGACAAGACGGGTCTGATGTGTACACAGTTAGATATATCAGTCTACGAGACAGCAAGCACGCCCCATTAGAATGGGGGGCAATCACAAAATGAATCCGGAGAGCCAGAAACACGACAATTTCAAGTCCATGACCAACACAGGAAAATGGGGAACCGATCAAAAGCTAGAAGTGATAAGATGAGCGCACCTGATGCCAATTGGTGAGAAGCGAAATGCCGAGGTCAGTTATACCTATGTGTGCTCACGTGATGGGAAAAACACACGGGGGTTGAACTAAACCACCTGGATGAACAAGTACCAAACATAGAGGAACGCATGACGGTGACGCACAGTGACGTTGAAATTCAACAACAAAAACAGCAGATTTATGAACCATTAGAATTGGACAAGACATGGAATGTTGTGGCACTGTCAACCACAAGTGGACCAAACACGCGACCAAATCAAGGTGAATCACACGAAATTAGTGTTCGATGCCAGGAGTGGTAAAAAAACAGACAGATGAGAACAAAAAGGGACGAATGCTCATGGGCGATTTGGACAACAGGTAAGGATAAATCAGTTTTCTGCAATCGTGTGGGCCTGTTTCAAGAATGTGAATGTGTGTGGGTGTGTGGAGGTACTGGAGGAGTTATGCGAGGGCCATTGAAGATAAACAGAGGCACCGTTCTCTCAATGTATCAGGCGAAGACGATGCAGACGCACAATAAGTGCGCACCCAAGTGCACAGCAGATCACGTGTGGAGCTGTCAGGAGGCCCGTCACAAAGGGCCTAACAACAACCACCGCTGCTACCACTGCCACCCGACGAAGCTGGACCATGGGCACCACCCGCGGGATTGTGGTGAGGACCAAGCTTAATTCCATTGGCCTAAAAATAGAAGTAGTACCAGTTCTCAGTCCAACTAAAACTTATTCTAGGGGGAGAACCAAAGAGAAAGTGAGCTACGCTGCAAGAAAGGAAAGGTGTGAATTCGTGTTGCAAGTTGTCGCTTCAAGGTGAAAAGTGACCAATTGTTACGTCATAAAGAGACCAGCACATGTACTGCTACGGTTGTGTTGACAAACAACTGTATTAAAAAAATCACATGTTACAGAAACCCGACCATGAATAGTGAAAGAGACCTATCGCCGTTGTCCGGAAAGGTATCACCACAGAAGTTTACAAGGAGACTTAACTGATCACCGCTGTACAGGTTGTACACCTAGCACTAGCTAGCAATACGTGAATGCCTTGTCTTATGAGTGTTGTGGGTCACCACACCACCTTTTGTGTACACTGTGGGTTTCAACTGCCCAGTTGTTCCCACTTGGATGTGGTAACAGTATGCCACCAGTTGGGCATGCTTATAGCTTTGAAGATACCTCCTCCTCTGCCCCGTCTGCTACTACGCTCTCGGGTCTATACTGGAAACAGAGGGTTCAGGTGGCTGCATGTGACACTACCCGCTGCCCATCATTGTAACAGTCCATTCTGGAAAACAATCCGATCAATCATGGGCACCGACAAACCGCTGACTGCAAGCTTAGCCGAATGGCTCCACTCAACGACACCGTTGAGCCAGAAGCTCCCAGACGTTTTTATTTGCCAATTTCCGTGGTGATGAGCAAAACGAACTGCATATGGCTCCTAATACAGAAAAACAGACATGCACCTTAGGGTCGTAATTAAAGAATCACACAGCGACATCGATCTGGCTGATGAGGCGTCGGTGAAATGCCAAGCGATAGCAAGGAGTACTGCTAAATGTTCACTGTTTCGATTTCTTCCCGTGAGCAGATACTGGATTTGGTCAACTTCGGGTTGCTGAATCCTTGCCCAATCTTCGTACAGGCTGCGATCAGAAAATTGAATCAGACAGAATAGCCAGTCAGATCAACGTAATCGAACCTTTTTGCCCAATCGCTGAGTCTTGGCAAAAAACACGAGTTGAAGTAATATACATACAGGCTATATCATTTGTAATCATATATTTTTGTCATAACTACACTTTAACACAATTCCATAGTAATTTTCTCACATTCAGTGAGAAACATCTGTAACCGAACTCACGTCAAATACTTCGTATGCACCGGCCTTCTGGAGCCGGCAGCGTCAGGGTTAAGTGAACAAAGGTTGTTGATTTTGTGCGTGTAGAGGTAACTGAATAAAAATAGCTGAACGGTCGGTACGGTTCCGATTAAATGGAGCTCACCCAGTTTTCCTTGGCGATGTAGTAACCAAGGCGGGGCACTGCGTACGCAAAATAGCATACAAGTCCACCATTTTAGCTGCGATTATATTACAGAAACACACAGAAAACAAGATTGGTCACCGCGAAATAACAAGACTCTAACGAGGTAAGTAGTGCCCCAAAGCTTTCGGCCGTGCTAAAAAGCGAACTGGAGCGAGATGACCGACGTAAAACTCGGTAATGAAGTGATTCAGTACAATTAGTGAGTGGTTGCTACTCTCACACTTGGCAGCATATTACGGCACAGCAGAGCACAGGCGACGGGACGATCAGTTGGTTCAGGAAACCGGGTAGCCACGCATTGAAACCGACAGATTCGATGCAGGAACGCCACTGACTGTGTAATCGAACAATGTCTACCAGTGTCTCTAACCTTTGGTGAGCTGAGTAACAGGGTCCTCATCCAGGGAACCGGTAGACGTCGACCCCACTGAGTTTGTTGGTTATTGCTTTCATACACCGTTGCCAGGTTCGAGTATCCATCTCTTGCCCGTATCAACTTAGCATAAGGCTGGGCGAAAATAGCTTTGCGAGCCAGACAGTCCGCTGACATTCGGAGTACATGTCCTAAACAGCGTAACCTATGAAGCGTGAGTAACTCGACCATCGTGGGAGAGTTCATTTCCCCCAAAACTATCCGGCGCGGCGCAACATTGCTAATCCAGCGCTCCCAGCAGACCCGATCAATGCTCTGGAGTCATTGATGGTCAAACACTAAGAACCTTCGCCCACCCTCTGCGCGTACAGGACAAATTTTTGAACCATAAAGAAGTGTGGACCACACTGCACGTCACAGACGAACTGTCATCCCACAGATAGCATGGATGTAAAAGGCTAGCGAAAGCCCTCATGACCTTCCCAATTCCGGCAGTAATCTCGTCTCCAGTCAGTCCACTGGAACTTATGCAAGTGTCCATATAAATAAATTCATCTATCACATCGATTCATTGGGATTGTATGGTCTTAAGTCACCGGGCAGAAGTACCTTTGGTTGACTAGAATATATTTGTGGGTTCCGACCACGCGCTCATCCGGAGTCGCTTTCCCTAAGTTTTCCAGGGCCGTGTAAGGTGCGGACAAATCGCTTAGCAACTGAGAAACTGACAGATCCGGATGCTAGAGGAACTTACCAGAATCGTCTTTTAGAGTCTCCAAATACTCCACCATCAGGTGTGAACGCATACTGGGACGAGACTGCCACCTCTTTGCATAGTGCTGGGAATTTCGCCTGTCGCACGGCCCAACCAGACACACTCAAGCACTGGGTATCAGACCGAACGGTGGCACTGCTTAAATCTCGGAGAAATATCCCAGCCTGCCCGGAACATAACTTGATGCTACGAACTATCAGACGTCAAGTAAAGGTGAGCGTGCGAGGTGGATACAGAAAGCCAAAGACATGGAGGAGGCAGCGCAAAGATAGCTGTTTACTGGGATCCAGTACAGTACAGCGCTTTCATCGTTGAGGCTGAGCGTAACTCATAAACCGTGGATACCATGATCCATTGCGTGAGGACAACCAGATACCTTAAGAGCGAAATGTAGAACATCTGAGCTCGTCTTAAGCGTCTTGAGATGCACAACCGAAGTGAGGTCTTGTAGGTGTTTGGGAGACAGCACATACATCGACAGAGAGGGAAAGCAAGGTTTCAGCAGCAGATACGTGTTGTCAAATTTGACAGACAGTGCGGACTCTTTTCAGCAGCGACACGTGTTGTCAAATTTGACAGACAGTGCGGACTCTGAAGGTTGCAACGTGAGTTCAGCAAGCGATTTTGGGTTTATTTTGCTGGACACCAGTTTGCACGCGGAACGATGGCTAGGAGAGCAGCAGATGGGTTCTTGGCAGTGCATCATTAGACGGGTGGGGAGGGTCGATGAACGAAGTACTGCAAAGGCGAGTGCTACTTCCAGATTGCCCAAAGCGAACGGGGTTTGTTCGAGGTACCCCATTGCAGTCTTTCAACTCAAAAGTCTGACCCACAAAGAAGTGGGAGGTGAGGTGTTTTTCTGGGACCCTTCTGGAAGCCAATGGCTCGACAGGCCGCTTGCTTGCAAGGGACTGGCCTACTTGAGTACGCAGTTAGTAAGACAAACAAGTCTTACTCATGATGCTACTGGGCATAGAAGTTTCGTTTTGAATCACATCGGGCTCTTAGTAGGTTCCAAGCGTATTTCGACGGCATAAGGTAATAAGTTGGCGGTTACGGCCAAGAGATGAGTGATCGGAAAAAGCGATTTTTGAGGCCGACATTCCCCAACCCAGCCTCCTCTGAGGAAGACAGAATTGCTGGTTTCATAAATAGGGATGTGCTGGTCGCCTGGATAAAACACTTATTTGCACATCCACTTAACAGCGGACATTATTGTTTTCCTTCCAGACCGTCTTATTTTACGGCTATTCGTAGTACAGGGTTCCACTGCTCATCGATGGTCGATGAGTAACCTGACTAATAATGAATTATGCCCGTAGCGCACCAGAATGAAAAACAGTAACTTTATTCTGCCACCTACGCAAAACGAAAAGGGTACCAATTCGTGGGCTGAGCAAAGAAGCTACGACAATATGCAGTGAGGTAAGCAGTCAACAGCATCGCGATCACTGTCGTTGGTACTTTGTAATGCGAGTCTTGAACAAGGGGTCCTGGCCTCACACGTACCGTGACCGATTAGTGCACGACTGTCGTCTTGTCGTAATCTGACAATCACCTGGTGCGATAAACCTCATCAGGATGCTCCGCTCATAATATAAGGACTGTGGGTGGGTACGATAGTTTTTAAGGCCAGTCATGAAGTCCACAGCAAACACTCCTATTCAAACTCGTAACCTCAGACGCCACAACTATATATCATTCAGCCGTAACACCCTTACGGTGACTAGCTACCATGCTACCTGAAGGAAGCACGAGGAATGGGATACTGCCAGGTTGTCCAAGCCTAGACAGAGGAAATCGAGAGGCAGAGGTCGGATTCGAACCACGGACCTTCCGGTAGGTAAATTTGCGCTCTAACCACTTGAGCCATCTTACCCCCCCCCCCCCAAAAAAAAAAAA